TCGATTCATTTGTTGTCCATTCTGCTATATGTGTGCATCCATGGCGTAATAATGTCATCTCTTGTATGTTTGTCAATAGTGAGTATTCAATCCATTGTATATACGCATCATATACGTGCTTTGTATTACTCCATGATTCCATAATAAATGAATCCAATGACTTGTTTCCCGTAGTCCAATCGACAGGTCGTGGAGCTTTACAATAAAGACAGAATATATTTATCTTAGGTTCTAACTGAAATGTGCATGCCAGACATAATCCATGCCCACACTTTTCTTTTATTAGACAATACTTTTGTTCATTATATGTGAATCCGATGGTAACCCAAACATCGGTGGTAAGAATATCTGGATGCTCATCGCATAACTAGTGAAAATGATACATAAAAGTCAATAATTATTTAAACTTTCAATAAACATGGCGCATAAGTAAATAGTTTACCTCGGCATAATATAAATCATGTGGCTCGCCTGTTATCTCAAGTGGAATTGATTTAATATCTGCACGAGTAGGTAGACCACATATGTGTACGTATCCATATTCTTCTTTCTCAGTATCAATCCAATCGAATGGAATCCATTCCAAATAGACATCATTTGGTGAGTTTGCTTGTAATTGAGATTTCTTAATAAACTCATCGAGTTGCTTATTGTTGCTAGTCCATCCATAGAAAGGCCCGGCCATTGCGTAAGTGAGGCGGTATGAGTTTGTCGTTGCAAAAAACGCTAACAACCCAAAAAACGGCCTGCGTTTTTTGACCCGGTTGGCGTTGGTTTTGTACGTTACATTGGATAATTGTCTATGTCCACAGATGCACCACACGGGACTACATCGGAGTATTCCGCATGCGGAGCAGAACCCATATCGAGAGTAATAATGGTAAAAGTCTCTATCAGCAACCATGTAATAGTTATCATCGCACTTGGTAAATCCTTTTATCATGCTGTTGCGCTCCGTAAGCCATACGGAATATCTTCTAAAGTTGTCGCTATTATTATTGTACTTGTGTATTGGAAGTGAGTATATGCTAGCAAACTCACTCACAAGTGTTTGTGTACATTCTCCGCTGTTTCCAAGGCATAGCAGCATTATCATCGTTTCCTTCACTTCACCATTATTCCTCGTTTGCTTGCGAATGGCGTAATGGACGTTGTCAATTTGGCTTGACTCTATGTCGGTGATTTCCGAACAAGGAATCCATTCAAGTTTATCATATTCATTTACATAACAGGATTGAACTAAGTTATCAATTGCTGGATTATTAACAGTCTCTGATGCTAACGACATGGTTTGAAAATAAAAATTTTTCAAGTGTGAACAAATCTCGTTCTCAACGCGTGTGTTACATTGCACATTCCTTATTTTAGAATTCCTAGATACAACTACTACAAAAATATAGCAGCACAAAAAAAAAAACGACGTACACAACTAATTTACGAAATTATTAAAACGGACTCTGGAATAGAATTCTATGCTTCAACTCGGTTGCTTGTGGCCTTGCTAGCTCTGACACATTCGTTCCAATAATGCGATAAAGAGAGTAACTGACATTTTGACAGCTTCAAGTTTTATTTATTTAGGATGCGTAATGGACAAATGTTATTTACATTTTTGGTAAAACATGACGCGGATTGAGCAAAGTTTAATTATTGTTTGCAATAGTTAAGCTACAATAAATTCTGCGTTTATCTCATAAAAAAAAGATGTTATGCTCAATTCGAGTAATGTGCTTAATGACAGTATAGGCATTATTACAAGTCATTCAGCCAATAAACTAAACCCATGTTAGTTAATGCACGTTACATCACTAACGTTGCCACACACATTCTATTAAATTAAAAAGCTAGAGACGTTATGCATAGATGATGCAATCGGCGTCTAGAGAGGATAACTTAATAAATTGTATAAGCTTATCAGAAAACCGTTTTCCGTTTTTTTATCATGTTGAGAATAAACTGTACACCGTGGTAGCGAGTCTGATGCATTTGTGTCTCTAATTGCAATTATGAGTAAATTATCAAGCATTCCATTTTGACTCTGTCAAGTGTTGCGTTAATAAAAGCTTATTATGTCATTCAATCGCAAATTGTTTAGCATTCTCAGAGGTTAAGAGCACCACGTTTAGTCACTTGTTTGCCCATTTTGTTGGTGTGATTGCTAAGATTTCTATGGACACAAGACTTTGAATAATACAAAACTTGGAATTCAGAATGCTCCAAAATTAAAACGCGTGAACGAAGAATATTATAAAATGCCCAAGTATATGGCAACAAAACTTTGAATGCTGCAAGTAATGATAGCAAAAAAAAAAGTCTCTAACATGCAATTTTTAGCACACACACGCCACCCCCCACACCCACCGACACACAAAAAGAGATTACAATTCAAGCTTACATTTTGACTGAGCATCTATGAATGATAACACCATTTTATCATCTTTGCTTTTTAACTTTCACTTGCCTCCTCCTCTTTGCTCTCGTTTACATCTCCACTATCATTAACTGCAACCCAACTGGATCCTCCTCCGCGCACAAAAGGCACTCTGGGGAAGTTTCTTGTGTTGATCAACATTCCTTTTAAACTTCTAATCTCATCTTTTACCTTTAAAACTGGAGTCTCTTTCTCTCTATCACCATATGGAGTATACGAGTATACGCCTAGGGATACATACTTTGCAAATGCTGTTAACGAAGCATGAAGACCGTCTATTCCGTCGAGAGAGGCAGCGCAAGTGTGATAGGATGAAAGAGCAGACGTGATCGAAGTGAGAGTTGTTGAAACAGGGGTCAAATTCAAAGAACTCGGAGATGAAATTGAGAGTGTTTGTTTGCTCGAGTTTAGTGATATTGGCGACGATATAGAAGTAAGTTTGGAATTGAGTTTTGTAATTAAGTCTAGTTGATGTGCGTAGAGTTCTTGTCTGGCTGAAAGTATACTTGTCATTGATGGGACCACATATTTCTAAAAGAATAATAAAGTAAATACTCGTATACAGAACAAAATAATCCACAGCGGATGAAATACTTTTAGGCGCACTTCTCCCTCTCTTACCTTAACAACGTATGCTAGCCCAGACGCGAACGAACCAGTGATGAACAAGACAATTACGAGTCTCTTCCATAGAGCAGTTTTTGGTATTGCTTGTAGCTGATTAGGATGTTGTAATTGTTGCAGTTGTTGTTGGGGCATGGTGGTATATGTACGAGGAGGAACCGGTGGTACTCTTGTAGCTGCGTTCTATGAAATAAGACTAAATTAGTGAAACAATAGCAGGCCGATCAAAACCATTATCCTTCCTCTTACTCCTCCCACCTCTTATCCCACACTCCCATTCAGTACAAACCTCTTTCTCGACTCTTCCTATAGCAATTTCAATTTCTTCATCAGTCAAACCTTTCGCCTTTAAAGTCTTTGTTTTCTTCGACATTGGCATATTTCGCACATTTGGATTATTTAAAAAAGCAAGTCCTATTTGGATCAGTTGTTCTCTCGGTTGTTGGGGAATTGTCTGTGTAATAAAAGAGTTGGCGGTCGGGATAGAAGTAGCTTCATTTGTTGGTGGTGTCGTATTAGTGTTATCTGTATTGCCATTCGATTCGTCAGATGGTCTCGCCACTTTGTCAAATGGAGCTCTAAGAGCCTCAGCCCGTCGTCTAGCTTCTTTCTGCTTTTCTATTAATTCTCGATGCTTCCGTTGTCTCTCTTCTGGCGATAGTTTGGGCTGTTCGAGGATAGTATGAACTGGATCCTTGGTACTATCATTCTCACCCGGTGTCACTTGAGTCTTTTGGTCGGGTGGCGATGTACTATCGCCCTGCGTTCGATTATCATCTGCTGCTGTAATGTCATTAGTTTTATCATCTGATTGATTATTCGTGACAGCAGGTTCATCTGATCCATTCTTTACACCATCTTTTTCGGCAGATTCGTTCATCGCTTCTTTTCTGAAGCGATTTGATAACCCATCAAAAAAGTAAACTTTTATTAATACTTTGTATCACGTGTTGAAGTCTGACCAGAAGCTATAACAATGCACAAGCTCCCCAAACAAAAGCGCCGCATTCCCACGTTTATGTAATTTACTTTTTTTCTTTCTCACATTCTTGTCGTGTGCAAATTGGGTAAAAGGATCAGATGCTCGATACCCCTCGGGGATATCCCCTGATGTTATAGTATGATGATGATGCCAGGGTCACATAACACCGAGTTTCATATTTTGACTATATAACACAGCCGACTGCACAATATTAATATTGCATACTGATATGATTACAACAAATGGTGATAAGTTGAAGTGACTTATATGTGATTTAATACATTGTAACTTTGAGGATACGCTCTAAAACCAAATATTAAATGCGTGTACATGAAAACAAAAGAAGAAAAATAATAAACTTTTTTCAAAATTGAATGATAACAGGTTAATTCGTGTTACTATTGCTCTTTCCTACCATACAAACTATTCTTTCAATACATTCTTTGATAATTCTTTTTCCGATTATATTTGTAAAAACACATTTCCTATCAATTGCCAGCCAGATAATCTGCTGCCCTTTCAAGATCATAATTAAACTTTTCCAGAGCATTAACGGCAGCCTCTCTGGAGAATCCCATAGCTCGTAAATTCCTTACATCAACCGTATCTTCATCTTCGCTAGTTATTAATGGAGGATTTCCAGTTTTGGTTTGTTTATCAGCCTCGCTCTCTTTTACGATTGCACTGTTCTTGTTCCCAGTATCTGCACCATTTGTACCGTTCGCAGCATTGCCACTATTACCACCATCACTGTTTGTAAACTCGGCGAATGCATCATCAAATCCAAACGATATATCATCTTTCTTGGCTGTAAATGGAGATGTTCCGCCAAATGCTTCATCCAAATTCGAACGAGATGTTTTGGTATCGAATGCACTTGTGAGTGAGGGTCCGCCAGGCAATGAAGCCATCTGTGAAGGGTCAAAAGGATCAAAGGCAAAGGGAGAAGTTTTTGTTGATGCGCCAGGGGTCGCGGAGGGAGGTGGGTTCTGGGTCGAGGTTGAAATTGGTGTTTTTGTCGACTGCGTCGCTGTTCCCATGTTAGAGCTTTTAACATCACCATCATCAAAGGTAAAACTAATTTCCTTGTCGAATTCACTCTCATCGAATGTAGCATCGAAATCAATTGGTACGGGGGGTCCAACTGGTGCTGCTGACAGATCTTCAAATACAGAATCAAAATCGACGTTGGAAACTGATGAAATGGCTTGTGAGGAAATCGCACTTGGCGTCTTTGTCGTTGCGGGTGGCAGAATAGATTCTGAAGCGGTAGATGTCGTTGGATTAGCATCTGTTGTAGTCGTTCCAGGTGTAATAGGAGGCGGAGGAAACGTGAACGGATCTGAGGATGGAGCGGACGTGTTTATGATATTATCCGTAATGTTAGTGACACTCGGAATTTCCAAATCGGAAGACTTTGAAAATATGTCAGACACGGTTTCTATAGCTTCCTGTTTCTGTTGTGTCGTCATGTCACCACTAGCTAATTCTTGCTTTATTCCATCAGATGTTGTTCCTTGATCCGAAACGCTTTCTTCCTTTGTCGCTGCTTCTTTGTTGTTGTCGCTAATAATCTCTGAATTGCTTTCCCAAACATCCCCTTCTTCCTTCTTGTCCTCCTTCTTGCTCTCTTCCCCTTTACCACCCTTCTCCTCCTCCTTCCCGACCGCACTACCCTCAACAGTAAAATTGTCCTCGAATCCGAAATTTCCAGATTCGAAATCTTGTAGTGAAGGAAACTCGGTAGCAAATGCGTCAGGCGTAAGTGTGTCTTGATCGTTATCTTTATCGCCCTCAAAGAATGCAGGACCGAACGCAGCATTAAGGTTTGATTTATTAAGTGATGTTTTAAGCGTGAATTGGGCGAATGGATCGGCTGGCATCTCTTGGGATTTGAGTTGAGAGTTGGGTTGATCAGTCGGTTCTTCAGTTTTGGTGACACTTTGCCATTGCGTCATAGGGTCCGAGCTGTCAATTTCGAATGGTGAAGCCGTGAGAGCTGGAGGCTCGAACGCCTTGATCGCGGTAACGGAACTTTCCTTATCTTTCGGCACAAAAGGGTCTCCAAATACAGACTCGAACTCGCTTGGCTTTGAAGTTGCTATGGATGCTGGCTTCTCGAGCGCGCCTTCTTGCTTAGGAATGCTATTGATATTATTGTCATCTACTGTCCCCTTAATTCGAAACGCATCTTCCTCTAGATTAGTGCTCTCTCCGATGCTCATCGCCTTTCTAGGCTCGATCTCTGGAAATGAAGAGCTCGATCCTTTCTGACTGTGAGTTAGAGAGGATCGATTGCTGGGCGCATCAACAAATTCATCGAAATCAGGCTTTGACACGGATGAAGATGGGAACGGCGACTGTATTTCAGAGACGGGTGTAGACACAACACTTGATTGAGTGATACCATCCTGCAGAGGTGATAAGGTCTTAAGAGCTTCAACCCTCTTCGTCTCCAAAGTGGATAACTGCTTCTTATTGATAGCAAGTACTCCTTTTTGCTGTCTTTCTTCTTTATTTAATTTTTCAATCTCAAGTTTGATATTATTTGTATTCTCTTCTGTGATTCTAATCCGCTTTCTCAGCTCTTGTATCTCGTCTCGATTTTTAGCAATTCCATTGGCTAATCCGTCTCTTTCGGCTTGCAATGTTGCGAATATTCTCTCTGCTTGGTTTAATTCACTTCTAACCTGTTCCAACGCAACAAGTTCTTTTCGATAATTGTTCTCTATCTCTTGTAGCGATTTCAATTCCGAATCGTGTAAAGTTCGAACTTGCCCTAGTCTTACCGACAGTTCCTGCTTCTGCTTTTGGAGCGATGATAGAGTCGACTCGAATGTTTCTTGTTTTTTTTTCATGTCAATTGTGTTACCTTCCATAAAGGATATTTGCTGCTGCAGTTTACCAACTTCACCGGCGGCTATATTTACTTGAGCGGGAAGATCATGCGAGCTGATTATATCATTTTCTGGTGGACGAGCGGATATACCAGCAATCGAATATCTTGGCGATGTCGGCGATGACATTAATAAATCGAAATCGTTTGAGCGTTGACTATCAGTGGCAGGAGGTATGTATACTGGAGGAATCCCGATCTGCGCGGGCGTTGAGCCAGAATTTGGTTTAGCTCTTCGCATCGACGGTGGAATAAGAGTCTGCGGTAAAGTCACAGGCAATGCATTTCCTGTTCGTCGCTTAAAGATCAAGTACATGGCTACAGCAAATGTATATCTATCCAATTTCCCTTGATGTCCAATATCGGCTAGATCCCATATCTGAGCCAAGTCCTCCTGTGGTAACTTCGACACTAAGAAAAACGTGACTGCTTGCTCTCCCGTGATATATCCTCTTCCCTCTTTATCCAATCGCTCGAACAATGTAAAGTATTTCGTTCTATCGTCAGGACTAACATCCCAATCGTCATCCACGAGTATGTCGAATATGTCTGAGGAAGGTGCTTTTGGAGGTAAAAAATTTCTTTGTTGAGTGATGCTCTGGCCAGTATGTTGGGCAACTAATGGTAATGGTGGTGGTGGTGGTGAGGTAGAGGCGGTGGATGAACCTGTTTGTTGGCGAACAAGAAGTGGCAAGGATGTGTTTAATATATTATTGTTTGCCTCGTATGGCACTCCACCGGATGCTGATTCATATAGTTCGGGTGGAAGCGTCTGTGGCAGTATGGCAAGTGTCCCAGTCATCGTCTCCTCGATAAAATACATTGCAATAATAAATTCAGTCAAGTCTAATTCACCGCGATTCTTGGTATCAACCAAATTCCATATTTGGGCTAATTTATCTGTTGGCAGTTTAGATCTAGTAAATACTACTTTTGCCTTATCACCTATATGGAACGATAACGTTTTTGAGGGGGAGAGAGAGAATATTTAAATATACATATAAATCCAGGGTATTACCATATTCACTCTTCAAATTCGAGTATCACCTCCTAATAAGCCATCTTTAGCATCAAATTGATCGAACAGGTTTTTGTATTTCTTTCTTCTTCCTTCTGAAACAGTATAAACGCCATCAAAACGAGGTAATGGAGCCTCTGAAATATATGGATCATTAACGCTTTTGATTAATATGAGATTTATGATACATTAGTTATCATCAACAATAGTAATATTGGAGAACCCCATGTCCAATATGCGTATGCTTATTCTTTATTTGCTCTATCATTACCTTTGCTGACAAGGGAAACGTCCGGCTTGCTCCCATTCTGTGCTTGAGCGATGAGTCTGAGAGCGGCACTAAATGTCTCTTTTGTAAGAATTCCTCCACCCGAATCTACAATCTGCCATATCTAAAGTTAAAAGCAGACGTGTAAGCGAGAGGACTGGAAGAACAGCTAATAAACCGATCATAATTGCCAGACCATTAACAATGAGAAGTATAAAATTCTAAATATTTGACAAGCTGATGGTCCAATAAATTACTACAAGAACATTAAACCTTGATAATACCTTAGCACCTTTTGACACATGTATATAATTGTTACTATTGCGTGTAATTTTATACACCCATCGCCTCAACAGATCTCCTTACCATAACCAACCCCAAGACCACAGCTCACGCCCCCTCCCTTCTCCTTCCCACCTCACCCACCTCACCCAACACATTCTGCGGTAACCGAGACTTTGAAAATAATTTAACAGCATTACTTCCGGTAATAAACCCTTTTTTCTCTTCATCGGCTTTCCTGAACAATATGCTATACACGATCTTCTCCTCAGAATTTAATGTAATGTCGAAGCCCATTTGGCTATTAGGAAAAGGATGAGGGCAAGGCAAGAATGTCTGAGGGAAATTCGAGCTAGATCTCGAGTTGTTTCTTGAGTTTAAGAATGTTGTTGATATTGGACAATAAATATTAATACCTGATGACGTACTTTTTAGTTGACTCGTATCGGTTTACATATTAGTCCGAAACCGGGCCCTGGTAGTCGATGTCATTGGACATTAAATACATTAAATAGATAATTTGCCGTGCATATGTTGTGAATAGACTTACTGGATAAAGAATTGATACAGAACTCGTCAAATCTCGTGCGACATGACCCGAGAATAGAATGTATTCAAACTATACTGCAAGTATTTAGGATCGAGTTTCTTATGTGCATACATCTTATTGGTTGGTTACTATTTTTGGCCACGTAAGAAATTCCTGATAACAGATTCGTAATGCACCTCGCGTGTCAGCAATTGCATAGTTCAGGAAGATTTTAAATCTGTTTTCGTGTAGATAAATACACACTATTTATTAATATCAATCCTTCGTTAGTGAGGGTGGCTATAATAGCGACAATAAATAAAACAATGATCGGAATAAACAATAACCAAATCAAGCCAGTCTTTAACACCGTTCCCAAAGAATTAAAACGTAACTGCCTAATTTGCTACCATGTCTCTGATTGCCTCTCCTTGATCATTTACCTTGGAAGGCAATTCCATTTTTTCTAAACAAGCGGCCATAGCGGCCATTTCCTTCCATTCTTCATACGTAAAAGATGGACTAGCGACAACATGAGGAATATCTACCTGTAAACGATCAATGCCTGGCGAAGCCACTTCATAAGATTCAACCAGTCCGAGCTCGGATTTCCGCTCATACAATGGCGTACCTCTTAACAACATTAAGGGAAAGGCCTTAATGGTTGGAATCTTATGACGCAAACAAAAGTCAATGGTCTGCTTAAAAGACGTGAGTGTCTGGCTAGGTAGACCAAAAATGAGGGAAACTTCACATTTAATATTGCGTTCGCGTATTTCAGTTAAATTTTTTTCAACAAGCTTCATATTGTTTGGCCTGTCTATAATCGCCTGCTCTTTGTGATGAATAGTCTGTAAGCCAAATTCCAATAACACTTCTCCCGTGTCGTTCAATTGAACAATTTTGTCCAAGAAATCTTTTTTCACCATTTCAATTCTGCATTGAAGAGCTATCTTTCCCTTGTACTTTACCTCTATTAACTTATCCAGTACATCAAGATAGTAAGGCCCAGAATTAAATGTTGGGTCTAATACGGCAATATCCTGAATAATTGGATGTTTTCCAATCCATTCTGCCTCTTGAATTATGCGCGACAAAGACAATTGACGACGCTTCATGGTCACATCGGATTCCCGGTGCTGACAAAAAGCACAACGAAACGGGCAACCGCGTTGGGTTTCCCATCGAATAAACCGCTGTGGCGGAATAAGTCCGGCTAAAAGAGGCGAGGCTAAATTTTCCAAGTTTGAAATGGCAGATAATCCTAAATCTGGCTTTCCTGCATAGTGAATCCCTCGGATGCTAGGAAAACACTCGTTGGATTGAATTAGCTTTACAAGAGCATTTTCAGCATATCCTCGGATAAAAATGTCAGCCTGAGGGTAGAATCTCTCGATGTCTTTCTTAACATAGCTTACTTGGGGCCCGCCAAGTATTATCCTACCGGGAAACTTGAGCAGTTTTAACTCGGTTAAAATTGACTGTATAGCCTTTTCATTCCAAACGAAAGCTCCCATGGCAACAATGATTTGAGGGTGTGCATGGAGCATAATGAAATCCCTCACAAGATGAGGAGAAAAGGTGGGTGAGTTGACAGCCCATGAACGAGCAAATGATTCAATGCCATGATGTTGTAGACTGGCTAATATTGAAGCATGACCGAGAGAGAGGGGCGGATCTTTCGGACGAGTCCAATCAAGAGATATTAATATTAACTTTTTTTTTCTGTTAGTCGACTCTTTCGTTTGCCTGTAATGAACACCTGAGAATGGGTTGACAGGAGCAATAGTGCTGAATCTGAACATATCATTGAAAGTATGTGCACTTGTTAGAGGGAAAGCACACCCAAATGCTTTTCTTAAAGAACCTTTAAACACAGTCATCATATTTGTAGTGCTCTGTATTAATATTAAACTGCTTACGCTTGCATCAATTCGTTCAGACACTTAATTCATTCTTTCCTCGAGGAAAACCAGCGGAAGGTTTTAAGGCTGCGTATCGGTATACTAATACGACGATAAGCATGACTGTGAGAGCTTAAGAATTCCTTGAAACAACAAACAGTGGTAGTATATCCATAAAAAGTAGCTTCATTGTATGCGAAAAGGACCCTTGTTTTGTAACAACAAACGTCCAGATAACAATCATTATTCTTATCAATTATAAATTTTAATTTATATTGAGACAATGAGGTAATGAGATTTTATACGACAAATACGACTAACCATACTTGTAATTGCGCAGTGTCTCTCAAATATTAGACGTCAAAACCTCCGATGCTTTTGTAGTAACTTTCTTTTAGTATTATGATGCGGCAAGACATCTTGTCAAATCAACATTGTTTGGTACTATAAGGGTGTATCTCTCGCTTTATGCTTGTAAACTATTCAATTTCGGGAAACATCTCTTGCGGAACTAAGTCAATTTCAAATCGTAGTTAGCTACAGTGATAGAAACAAGAAATTTACCGGAAAGTGAGAGCAAGGGAATAATATGGTCGCATTAAATGGCTCTAGATCCGCACTCTTTGATAGCATCATCCATTTTAGCCATTACTATTACTGAAAATTTATTAACAAATTTTTCGGAGTTGTATGATCGGAATGTCTACAAGGACACTTCTCGGGTGAAGGATATAATGCGAGACTCTTCTCACTTGCTTACAACACCAACGAAGATTACTACTGAATGAAACCCATATTATTGTCTTACGTAATAAGAAAGTCGCTGGTTATGATATAGACTGGATCCAGGACCAGCAAAAAGAATTGCAGAGTTTGTTATTCAGCAATTATGAGAAAGCTTTTATTGAATACAAAATTACAAACATTTTTATTGATCAGGAGTCATATAATTCCTTTTCTTGGGATGAGTTCCCCATACTAGTAGTCGTGAAATGCATTCAAAGATTAAATTATCCGATAAGATGAAATCGGGCGGCCACACTACACATCTCTAATTACTTTTAATAAACAATGCATTCTATATTTTCTTATATATTCGTTTGATTTTGGAATCCTGTTAACTCAACCATATTGACATACATGGAAACAGTGTTTAATTTATTCTACATTATAACGAGGTATACATGTTGTACCTCAGTTGGGGACCTGTCTCAGTTCTGGACTGAGACGACTGGGTTCTGGACTGAGTGTCTGGGTTCTGGACTGAGACAACTGAGTCCTGGACTGAGTGACTGGGTTCCGAACTGAGACAGGTCTCAAACTCAGACACAACACACAAAAAAGAAATCTCACCATATAGTGTATTTTAATAATATATCATGTGACATACACAGTAAATTTGATTAAAAAACAGTTTATTTCGTATTAACACGCAAGGAAAAGCAGTAAAAGTTTTTAAGCTGAAAAAAAAGAAGGTAAATTTCACCGAAAGTATTGGATAATGCTAGACTGACAGCTTGCTCACTAACTCCGCTAGTTCTTAGTTCTCGACCTTTTATTGAGGGGAAGTTTCTCTTTTTTTTCCACATAATTTCCTTTTTCTGAAAAAATAATTTTGTATTATTATCTTTTATTATCGTTATTAACAAACATTGTCTAAAATAATAGAAACTCTCGCATTATCATAGTTCTCTTAGTTCTTTATAACAAGTAATAAAGGTCCTTGCTTTATTATTTTTTTATCAGTTACATAGTTTGTCCAGTCAAGCTTGGAATGTTTCTTGGCCACTTCTATCCATATCAACTGTCTGTTCCTCCATAACAAAGAAGAAAAACTTTCTTTGTTCTAATCTGACTAATCATTACCCCTCCACTATATCGAACGAAAACTACACAATATATATGTTTATATAAATACTCTATATAGAGCTGCTAGTTTAATTAGGAGGGGAAAGTTTCCAACATTTCTTCACAATAACTGAAATCCACTGTAGCGGAGGTCCACTATAAGTAGAGCCTAAGAACTACGCACGTTAATATTAGAACGCTTTCACAATCAAGCAAACTATCGCAGCTATCATAAGGCATACTCCGCCGTTTCGGAAAACTAAATCGGAATTACGCCGGAGGAAGTGCAAGAATATGCACTGCTTGCGCTATTAACACTTCGATCAAAGAAAAGACCGATATGGTGTCGGTTGTGTCAAGAGCACCCTGGCAACATGTCCAAATAGACCTAATCGACTTCCACGAGTTAGCAGGAAGTGACTAACTTGTGTCTGTACGTTTTCCAAATTCCTCTTCGCAGTACCAATAAAAAATAAGGAAGCAGCAACTGTTGCTACGCACCTTGTAAAAGATGTATTTAAAATCTTAGGCCCCCCAGCAACGCTTCAAAGTGATAACGGTAAGGAATTTGTTGCTGACGTCGTTACACGGGTTTGTAACATAACAATCAAACAAAGCCAAGGTCAGATCGAGCGGCTTAACCAGACAATTGGCCGCGGCTCTACTAAGTTGCTATGGGATGATAAGAACCAACTGCAACGGAAAGTTGGATTCATGTCATAGACGCTTTCATCATCAATTATACATCGGGCCCACGGTCTTACACCTCACAAAGCAATGTTCGGTTGGAAAAAAAAATCAACTATTTACTGTATTCCTACCAAAATGCCAAAAACCGATGCTTGCACAGTCGTTAGAGAACTACTAACTAAACATTGAAGTGACCTATCAGATGATGAAATTGTACGACTATGAACAAAAAGTATAGCAGTGACGAGGAACTGCCCCACCTCCAATGTCTGCACAACAAGGGAAGGCGGCACTTGTGCATTTAGATATTGTGAAGAGCAGTTTGAAGAAGATATAGATGCCAGTTTTATGGCAAAACTAAGAATGCTGATCCGACAAAAGTTCAGGAAGAGAAAAAAAAACTAACTGTAGACACATTTTCAAATAATATGTTATTCACATGTTATTTCTCTAAATTACAATAAATTGTTACGGTCGGGAAATAAAATGGGGGTTTTGGGAGAGTGATTTATCTTTCGTTCGCCGACCGGGGGATGTTACCAGGCTTAGCTCGTACTATCGCCCTTACTACGATAGTTGTGCAATTAAGACTGAATTAAGCCTCAAGTGACCTAATTTTAATTATGCGCGCCTCTCACTCCCTATCCGAGTTTCAAACACTCGACAAATAAAGGTACCTCTAATAAAATAACAACAACAATTATTCTACTAAAGAATCGAAGGGGAATAATACTATTTCTTTTAAAATTTAAACAGGGCTCTCTCCCTTCAATAGAAAGCCACTTATCCTTTTTATTTATTATTTTACTGATAGTCGTAAGTTGCAATTTCGTTTTGTTTAAAGGTCTTATTATGCTACAAATCTCATTTTTAAGTGAGTCGCTGATAGCGTTCTTATTTTTTTCTCACGCGATGGGCGTGACTACCATATCAGTTATTTTGTGTTTTGTTACCAATAAAGGGAATAAAATATCATCGTTATCAAGATCTGCCCACAAAAAAATTTTTAGTCGTGGAAAGTTCATTCTTTTGAAATATGCTTTCAACACCTTCGCACGTTGCATCAAATCCATCAATACTCTACTATCTTCTTTCGACTTATCTTTCACCTACTTCAACTTCTTTACTTTCCGCGAACCTCCCTTTCGTTCTCAAGTCGATCACACTTCATCAATTGCTCAAACAACCATCTTCGCATCCATATCTTCACAAATGGATCACAAGAATAAATTCTTTGACGCAATCGAAGATAGCAGAAGAACGGTTTGCTGGCGTGTGTTGTATGAGACTTACAATAGAGCAAGTGGACAGTGTTATTGGAGAATGGGGTGTTAAATGGGCAGGATGGTTAGTTGGCCTTTTAGTGGTAAGTCTGTGTGAACAAACAAAAAAATGGGAATGATACTGTTATAGATTAGAAGACTAGTGAGAAGTCACATTAGTAGCAGTGACGATTGATGGATTATTTGAAGTTGCTGGCGCTTTATTGACAGAACATACAAGTCCAATTTCATTAGCACTGACCAAAATTTGAACTGATATAAAGTAGCGACCCGAGTCATCAACAACCTTGGAAACTGTTATCTCAGCTTTATCAGAACTATTTGACAAAACAATCGATAAACCACAACTACAACGAGAAATCACTGCACAATTGATCCCTAAATTCAATTCGTGTTTGATAACTCTATCGAGCAATAAAAAATTACTGGTATGTGTGTTTTATACTTTTATACCTTGTTCAATTTCACTCTTATATTTTAATCATTACCAACTTTGTAGCAAGTGATCCTAAAAGCCCTTACTCGCTCAGCCTGCTCCTTTCCCACCCTATTCCGCCCGGTTTTCTCACATGCCCAAGCGCTTTGCATCTCCTTGCTGGATGGAACATACTATTCTTCATCGCAGATACCATCCTTTGCAGCTGAATGTTTTGCCAGTGTGACTATGGTTGGAGGGAGGGTCGGTTCAGCAGAGAGATGGAGAGAGACCGTGGGAAGAGCAATTGGAAGTGGAAACAACGTTTTGGATAGGTTATTGGAAAGTGTAGATGAAGGTAAGGTAAATGATTGAAGAAGAGTTTATGAGAGCGTTGTTTCCCGGTCTTAAAATAATAAGATATATAATGCTTTGCGTAAGTTCAATGTCGATTGACTTTTTGTTTCTTCCTTTCTTGTTTTCCTAGAAAAGGACGAAAAGAGGAAGGCGGTCCTTGTATTTGATATGCCGACAGTGGATGACGATTATGTTACCGGGTTTCCAGTTTTAATCAGAAGATTTGAGGCATTTTGTGAATGTATTGTGAGTCTATTAAGGTAAACTCGCTATTATTGGTTTTAATATCGTTTGGTTTTACTGAATTCTTTTAATAACTGTCATGTTAGGATTAAGGCATCAGTACCCTTGAAAGTGCCTGTCAACCAGATTATTGATCTTGCTGCAAGAGTTTACAGTGTCAACAGTAATTCGATTGTGTGTATTCAAAATACCATAAGAGATTATTCTACGCGCTTTGGAAATGTTTACTGATATTGTTTTTTTGTCAACCAGTTGGCTGAGAATGCTGATAAGAATGAATTCGCAATGATGATGGCTGGACTACCTTCTCTGCATCTTGCTACCAATAAATTGCTTTCAGGATTGATTCTTTGGTAAGGTCTTAAGATTGCCAACAAAAAGTTATTTCATTACTTTTTATGTGTATTAAACTCTGACTCAACATACTAAACCTAAGATAGTTCTGATGTAACAGTGTAGGAGACAGTCTTTTAAAATATTTGAGGCTGCTTTCCCGAATTTTCCCAAATATCTTGAATCAGTACAAACACCATGGGTACGCTTTGGCCATCAGCGATCTTGTTTGAAGTTTTGATAGCCCCAGATCTAATTTAAATTTAATCATGCTTCGTACTTAGCCTTCTCAAAAGCTCCACGTACAATCTTCTCAATCTGTGCTTACAAAAATATGGAATGGGATTTGGGAATTTAATTTCTTCACCCCTTTTGTCAGCAATACTATCGGATATAGACAATACCCCAAAGGCAAAGGAGACAGTCGGTAGTATGTCAACAAGCGCGAAGGTATTCATTTATTCCTATTTAATTGTATGACTGTATGCAGGACATGTATAAACATGATAACAATATTTTGAAGAAAGCAGGAAAAGAGAGGGATGACGTTTCTACGTCAGATTCTCTAGTAAACCCACCTATATTTAACAGTCATTTTGATGTAGACATCAAACATGCTGCATTAAAAGGTGAGAAACCACGAGACACGATTTTATTTGTTCTGTATGTATTATATTAACTACAATTCAATTCGTTTTTATTTCGAAGTATTTAAAACATTCTTAATAGTCAGCAATCAGTCTCTGCCTGCAACCGCTCGTAGAACGGTCGATAGTGTTATACTCTCTCAGATTTTAAATCTGGGATGCATGGTTGACAAGAAGTCTGCAGGGTTTGACGAAAACATAGAGTTGGCTTTGTACGATTGTTTATTGTCTTCTGTGATAGCTCCGTCTGATACTCAGGCCAACGTGATGCCAATGGCTTTGAAGGTGTTCCAGAATGGATTAAATTCAAGAATAAATCAGGTATGATTAGAGAAGTAAAATCTGTTGTATGTTATTATCAGTTTGCTCTGTTCGCTGTTCTCGATACAACGCCAACAAGCAAAATTTCATAACAGGTTCAAGCATTTTGCATCCAAGCTCTATCGATTTGTGATCTAATGTATCACTCCCGCCTTCCTCCACTTCAACACACATATAATATTCCCGCTTCATCCTTTACACCGCTTCGTGATGATCATCAAAAACAACCTGTTGTTGAAAATGCGCATACCAAGGAGCCTGACAGTATGGTAAAAAGAGCTTTATTAGATACAGATGAAGAATTACCCGACAGTATGGTGAAAAGAGATTTATTAGATACAGATGAAGAATTACCTGACAGTATGGTAAAAAGAGATTTATCAGATACAGATGAAGAGCTACCTGACATTGTTTTAAGTTCGGACACTGGTGAGGATGATGGATGAATTATTTCTCATAGATGATAGATCCCACGTCTTTTTGGTACGAATTGGATGAAAATTTTAAATGATTGGTTATCCTGCAATAAAACTGAAAAATTTAACGTGCCAGCAGCATTGATTGGATTGTTTCAATTGAACTGTATAATTGCTTCCTTCTGTAATGTTTCTATCAGTGGATCTATTGATAATTTTAGACTCGGTTCTTTCGATTTTTATTATGTATTAGATATAGATATACTGCATTACAAAAATATAATACAACACAATTCATAACATTGTGATAATACAATAATGCACGTACGTTGAGGTTGGATAACTGAGATGTTTCTGCATCCTTATTTCACTAGAATCAGAACCAGAATGAACAATAATGAAAGGACTATTTGTAAAAGATGTAAGCGACTGCTGCAATTGTCATTTGCCTTTCAGCGTAACCATCCAAACACACTCTTTGCCCATCCATCATTATTATTGTTCTTCACATGCTCCTCCTGCCCGTTTTGAACGGACGGAGCACTGATGCCGTTCTCAAGATCTCTTTCACACTCAACATTACTGCTCTTCGTGCTCTTTGAGGTTGTCCCATTCACTTCATTTGTCTTCTCTCGTTCTCCCTGCCCGTTCGACTGTTCATCATCTTGTATATCTTTTGTCCATCCACAATTCCATTTTATATCCGGAATGACATGTTGGTGGCTCTTATACTCGTATATCATTCCACAAACAGCCAACACAAATCCACACGCTATTAGTACATATATTCCTGCATTTGGTGTAAATCTCCATTCGCCATCAGTAAAAAACAGCTGAAACGAATCACGGAAGCCTATTCGGATAAATTCGTCGACACCATAAAGGACAGTGAACGAGCCTCCGATGGAAGTGGAAACAATAATCACGTCTTTCAAGTAAATGTGAGTTATTAGGCAGGCAACTATGATTAAAATCCCTATAATGGTGTATCTGATAGCAGCTATTTTTACATGCCCCACTGCCAAGAGAGATACTGAGAACGCAAAACTATATAATACCATGACAATGTTAGCAAGACACTGGTAAGATACACAATTGCACATAGCGTCCTACTCTACGTGAGATGCTATACGATTCGCATTTATACTTACGCTCCGTATGCAGCAGTCAACATCAGTCCCAGATGCCAACAGAAGAAACTTAGCAATCCTCCGGTTGTCCCGACCAACAGCCACATTATGAAATAAAAGAAAACAGAATGTGTAGTATTATAGGCATTATCAATCATTAATATGGTTACCGTTGCCGTGCTTGCTGTAAAGTAAAATAATAGTCAGCTTATACCAGACTAGATAAACACAAAGGTACGCGGCAACGCATACATACACCAGAAAAGAAATCCCATAACGAGCAAAGTAATTCGAATATATTTATACCCGTAGAACACCTCCAATAGTCCGACAGAGATGAAGAGTAGTCCGTAGATTACGTTGCTCCATAATAAACGCGTCTGGAGAACAGTAGCTATTTGCATATCGAAATATAATGACAACATATGCACGTTCAGATATCAGAATATACTCTACATGAAAAGAGCTCTTTTCTACTTACGTGGAGTTCCGTAGGTAGTATTGTACGTAGGCGAAGATTCACTAATCTCGTACTTCGTTAAATGAACAAGTGTTGTCACAATTCCACTTGGATTTTCATCTTTATCTTTTCCTATGCCCGTGACGGTGAGAGGATAGTGAAGAAGGAGAATAAGAAAAGATAAGAGAAATATACGCCGAATTGGACACATTATTGATAATGCGGATGTGTATATCAATAAGGCATAAAGAGTGTTAGGGAACTGTGGAATGTGGAAGGGACTTAGACAGAAAGGCAGTAAATGATACGGGTCATGTTGCAGCAAACCTAATAACTTAGTGGTGCCGAAAATAATCGGCAGACCCGTGATTATGAGCCACACAAGCCATCATATTTCATTGGGTA